CCTCCCTCTACCTTCTCTCATAAGGATACTTGTGATTACATTTAGGGTTCTTCTGGATAATCAAGAACAATCTCTCCACCCCAGGATCTCTAAGCCTAATTATATCTGCAAAGTCCCTTTTACCATACAAGGTAGAAGGAGTTGGCAGCGGGTAACTCTGGAGCCATTATTCATTCAGCTCACCACCTGCAGACACAGAGACAGGGCTTACCCCAGATGATGCTGCTGGTCATTGTTGGCATCTAGATCCATGGCAGACACCTTTAACTACCTTGCACATGGCCTTGCACGGTCCTCAAAGAGACGTGCACTCAACAGTGAGCACAGGACACCAAGGCAACTACAATGACGTGGCCATGATGGCATTTCTGCTACCAAATGCTGCTCCCCAAAAGTCCAGAGCAGGCTGGTGATAAAGCAAAAATGCGCTTGCTGCTTACCACAGTCAGGGGAACACTACCTGGCTTGTCTTAGGTTCATCTTGGAAAGGGTGGGACAAAGGAGGGACATTTATGAGGTTTTCATTGTCTAGCTTAAGGCAGGTTTTCAAAAAGGGAGGGTGATTAGGATTAGTTAGTGTTCATGATACACTCATTGAGGAGGGGTGTGTACCTCTCCTAAGGTATAACAGAGAATGTCCAATGTTCTTCATTGTAAACTGAGTAGCTGAATGTTGATTTAAGTTAATTTTGGAGAAGTCATTGAAATTAGCAAAAATGTTGTTTGATAAGTTTAATCTTTCTGGGCAAGAGTTAGCTGCAGTAGCAATGTCAGGTTGGTTAAGACAGTGGATGAATAAATGGACGTTAGTGTAGACAGTAAACTAATGTGGGTGTAGATGTTTTGATTCTCAACACTCAGCCCACCAAAAATGCCTGGGTGAATCAGAGAAAAGAAGATCGTGTCACAGTGTGAGGCTGTTGCCTCTGGAAAGCGCCCACTTCATAGAAAACCCAGAAGTCACCCCAAGAAATTGAGAGAGCAGTGGTGAGGTGGGAGGGGAGACCCTGGGTGACCTACAGAGAAGGCAGCTGTTGGACAGGACATTTTCTTCCCAAGACTTCCAACAGCCACACCCAGAATGACTTCCACGGGTGTGTTCAAAAGGAAACGGAGAAGAATTCCTTAAGGGACAACTGCGTGTGCTGCAAGCGATTAGCCCACAGAATTCTGACCTGCACACCCACCAGCCATGCAGGAGTGCATTTCCACACTGGAAGAAACAGCATGCCAGTTACTGCACGCTGGGGTTAATTTTCAAAGTGGGCACAATGTGAGCCTTTTTAAAAAAAAAAAAATTTGAAAAAACAAGGAAGCCATTCTGTTAACCACGTGGAACTACTTCCAATGAAAGTTCAGTCTGCAGCAAAAGGGGAGACAGAAATGAACAAGTACTGAGATTTTGACCTCATATTTTAACTTCTGTCACTTACTGGGAACCAATTTGTCAGCCAGATACATTATATAGCCGATTACCTCAACACGGGGGAAAGTCTTACTGCCCTCATTTTACGACGTGTGAATAAAGACCCTCTTCAAAGGTTATTTGGCCATGGCCACACAGTAAGAGGTTGTGTTCTAAGGGTCTCCGTCTTTGCTTCACACCACGCAAATTTCTAGAAGGCAAGTATTTCTAGAAGGCAAGCCCCTCAGCTTCTGCTCTACTTACTGTTGCACAGTGCTACGTTTGCACAGTATGTACATATAAATCCACACACTGGCATAAATCATCCACTGTAGTCTGTGGGTTTTTATTTCTGTCTCATAGAAAAAAAGAAATCCATCCCTAGAAAGGTCTCCTCCTTGGAAGTCCAAATGGTTATACAAATCCCTTCCCTGCCCTTCCCTGACTTCCCACAAAACTCAATATTCTTGCTGCCCAAATTCCTTTCCTGCAACCTAAAGACCCCCGAAACCCACTTTTACGTAATACTTCCTTATTACTCCCTAGACAACCTTCCTTGCAGCCATATGCTAATACACACCTCTCTTCATTCAGCCAATATTTTTATGCCAGGTGCCCTTGCCAAAATTGTTCCCTCTCCCCTGGGAATGAGCTAACGCTAATGGCTCTGTTCTTGGCAAAGTCCTGTCTTAGCCTCCAGCTCGGAATTCAAGGCCCACCTCCTCCGTGAAGTAAGCCTGGATGACCGGTGAAAAGTCTTGCCCTGACGCTGCTGCCCCTGGCTGTGCCTCTGTCATTATGCTCAGTGGAGAGCTTCGTAACTCGCAAGGGGCTCACCTGGCCAGTATGTGAACACCCTGAGGACAGGGAGTACATCTTCGCCATCTCTACTTCCCCAGAGCAATGCCTGGCCTGGAGCAGATGTTTAGCTTGTTCAGTAAATTAGGATTGAATAGGAATGTGTTGATTTCTAACACGAACGCTTACTTTTCTGGGAAGATGTTTAGATGAGGAAATCATGTACTTTACTCCTATAACATATGGGAATTTCATCAACCTAGTGGGATACAGGAGTTTCCCCTCAAAAACAACAATAACAAAAAATAGCAAAACTTTGGATAAGTGAATTGAAAACATAAACTCTGGTAGAAACAAGGATTTTTTTCTTCTTTTCTAAATTAGTACCACTTGGTTCAAGGACAAGAGGTCACCTTTGTCAAGTTTAAAATTTATTGGATTTCTTTTGCTTCTCTCAAATTTTAGATCCGTGACTTAAACATACTTCATGAGGAAAGTTACACTGTTCTCTTCATGTTGCTGTATATCAGAGAATAGAGATGCTTTACAAACAATGCTGTACTTCACAGGACTCCTGATAAATGAGTCAATAGACTTACCCCCATTTGGGGGGGGGCAGGAAATCTCAGATACAAGTGAAAAAACATTTTATGCACAGAAGACACGCATAACTGAGCTGATATTAGAACACACAGTATTTACCATCACGCTCCAGGGTTGATTGTGAGAGCTGTTTCCCCTTCCATGATTCCCAAATATCCATTTCAGTTGAATAATTATGGAGTAAGCCCTGCTTTATGAATCAATTTGTTATATGCATTGTGGATGACACAGTGATAATCTGTGGTTCTCAGGATTGATGACCTACACATTAAAGAATGTAGAATAGTTTGAGAGATAACAAACCAAAAACAAACAAAATAACACATAAAAACAAACAAAAACATCCAAGAGATAGCACAAGGCAGTGTGAGATTGAGTGCCTGGCTCAGTTGTTTACCAAATCCTGTAGGAGTTCATAGGACAGAGTGGTCATTCTGAGCTAGAAAATTAGGGGCAAATCATGGGAAATGTGGGCCTTGAGCAGGAAGTCAAAGGTGGCAGGGTTTGGGCAGATGAAGGAAGCCAGTCAGCACTCCCCAGGAGGGAGATGTTTGGAATGAGGGCAGAGCCAGGATGATCCACTGCATGACCAGGGGGCCGAGAGTTGGTGTAATGTACCAATCAGTAACAAGGCTTCAAAGATGTTTAGATGAGGAAATCATGTACTTTACTCCTATAACATATGGGAATTTCATCAACCTAGTGGGATATAGGAGTTTCCCTTCAAAAACAACAATAACAAAAAATAGCAAAACTTTGGATAAGTGAATTGGAAACATAAACAGAGGGGAGGGGGAGGATGCTAACTCCATATTATGGTGTTAGGGGCTTTGTCTTGTAGGTTGCCTTAGTGACTGGGTTTTTTAAACAAGAGAATAACACGCTTATTCTTGTTTTGTTGTTTTGCTTTGTCTCAAGGCAGGGTCTCACTCTTGCCTAAGCAGTAGTAGAGTGGCATGATCATAGCTTGCTGTAGCCTCAAACTTCTGGGGTCAAGTGATCCTCCTGCCTCAGCTTCCCAAATAGCTGGGACTAGAGGTGTGCACTACCAGGCCCAGTTGATTTTTTTTTTTTTTTTTTTTGTATTTTTTTGTAGAGATGGGGTCTCACCATGTTCTCCAGGCTGGCATCAAGCAATCTTCCTGCCTTAGCTTCCCAAAGCACTGGGATTACAGACGTGAGCCACTGTGTCCAGTCCTTTTTTTTCGATTTTCTTTTCTTTTCTTTTTTTTAAGAAAATGAATGTGGCCGGGCGCGGTGGCTCACGCCTGTAATCCCAGCACTTTGGGAGGCCGAGACGGGCAGATCACAAGGTCAGGAGATAGAGACCATCCTGACTAACACGGTAAAATCCCGTCTCTACTAAAAATACAAAAAATTAGCCGGGTGTGGTAGCGGGCGCCTGTGGTCCCAGCTACTCGGGAGGCTGAGGCAGGAGAATGGCGTGAACCCAGGAGGCGGAGCTTGCAGTGAGCCGAGATCGCACCACTGCACTCCAGCCTGGGCGATAGAGCGAGACTCCGTCTCAAAAAAAAAAAAAAAAAAAATGAATGTGTCAAAGCTCTAAAAGATGGTGGAATGAGATGAGTGAAGCCATACCATAGATGAGTAGGTGATGCTGGGTATACCTGTGTGGTAATGGAGCCTGCCTGCACTAGGAGTGAGGCAGTGTGGATGAGAAGAAAGAGGAATTCAGAGAAGGCATGAAGAAAACAGCAGAGAGCTGACAGGGAGAATGAGCTATCATTGATACAAGGGAGGAAGATAAACTGAGAAACCAGCTTGGGAAAAATCGAGAGTTCATATGTAGTTTTTGTGTCTTTTTCCAAAGCACTGGAAGAAAGTATCCAAGCCACACTCAGGCTAAGAAGCAAGAAGCAGGAATCACGAGCTATCTTAAACCGAAAGGGATTTAATGAAGAGAATCAGACGCTTCCAGCAGGGTCAAAAAGTTGGAGAAGTATTCTGTGCCCTCGGCTCCAGGCATAACTCTGGAAGGCCTTTCTGATAAGCTGTGCTTACGGGAGAGGTTAGAATGGAGTATCGATCCACCAAAAGTGTCACAGAAACCTGTTTAGGTAACTCAGCATCTACACACCATTCCATACTGAATCTGCTGCCATACTGAATGAAAACAAATGATCCTGCCCAACACAATGGATTTATTCTTCATACAAATGAAAAGCAGCCCCACCTTCTCTGCAAAAGAAGAGCTATCCAGGGTCTTGTCCATCAGCACCTTCATTACTGGAGATGTTCTTGCTTGTCACAATCATAATCTCTGCAAACGAAAGACTATATTAAGGTGTCAATCACTGCCAACACATCTGTCAAATTAAAGAGAAAAGGAAAAAAGAAAAAAGGAACTTGGCTGATACATCTTTCACAGAATGAGCAAGAAATTGTAGTTAGTATAGTCCTCATTTCTACCAGCGATCACAAAGCCTCATTTCTATAAGTGATCATAATTATAATTATTTGCAATTGACTTCTTTTTGTCCACTCAAAAAACACTTTGGCTATTTGCCTGGCAAATGAAATCTTCATTCTTCATGGGCTTGAGCCCTTTGTGTCCTGTTTATATTGGATCGTTGTAGTCTTCTGTTAACTTTTGCCACTGGTTTGGCACTACTGATGTCGCTGTTGATAACCTGGGGTTCAGCATTTCTGATCTGAGAACTGATGCTTTTAATCAAGGAAAGCACAAAGTTAGAGGAACAGGAAGTCAACATTTGTGAGTGGGCTATTCGCTGTAATAACAAAAAGGATTGTGGATTCTCACTTCCAGGAATCTGGGGCCCATATATTTTGGCCATTGGGAAAACAGCCTCACATCTTGGTCATCCTTTCAAAGTGCATACGGCATACTATAGGACATCACCCAATCTCACACGATGCCACTGATGGACGTTATCTGTGTATGCAAGAGGTCACTCTCCCATCTGTTAAGACCAGCTGCACATGCGTGTTGAGATAAAGAGGAAGATTGCAGAATGCCATAGGAATGAGGCCATTTCTTCACTTCTCTTGCTAGAATATGACTTATTAGGTCAGAAACAAGGTTTATGGGATACTGTAATCGTATTAATGGATTATTTTTGATGGTAGTACTGGCAGAAGCATTTCATACCCAAAATACCTATTCCATAGAGGACAGATAACTGTTTTTTTCACAATGAAAAGGATTTATATAATGAACCTTCCCCTGCGTGTCTGTCTGCCCCCAACAGAATGACTTCATATATGACACTTAACGTTGTCTACTCTTTTTTCTTTTCTTTTCTTTTCTTTATTTATTTATTTGAGATGGAGTCTTGCTCTGTTGCCCAGGCTGGAGTGCAGTAGTGTGATCTTGGCTCACCACAACCTCTGCCTCCAGGGTTCAAGCGATTCTCCTTTCTCAGCTTTCCAAGTAGCTGGGACTACAGGCACGCACCACTATGCCCAGCTAATTTTTTGTGTTTTTAGTAGAGACTGCGTTTCACCATGTTAGCCAGGATGGTCTTGATCTCCTGACCTTATGATCCACCCACCTGAGCCTCCCAAAGTGCTGGGATTACAGGCATGAGCCACCGCACCCAGCCCAACGTTGTCTACTCTTAATAGGAGGCGCATACAGCAGGGATGGGCCAACTCAACCATACGGAGGGAAAGTCCATGTTGTGGAACTCATCTTTAATCTTCATCCCTGATACCATGGCTGTCTTATTCCTGAGCTCACTGGGAAAACACAGATGGCATAAGAAAAGGCTGGCTGACCTTCACAGGCTGGTCATCTCCCCACTTAGTTCCTGAAACACTTATCTGAAATTGATGTCCTGTGGTTAAGAATCATAGAGAACACAAGTATCTTATACTCTGTGCTTATGCCTCTTCTACAGAACTCTTTGTCACCGATTCTCCAGGGTTATTTCTTTCAGATTCTCAAGTATCCAACCTGCCATCGACTTCCTGTGAATCAGTTATGAGCTATACATCTGGACATGTATCCTTCCAAGAAAAAATGAGACATTTCATATTCTGCTCGATTTCCTCCCTTGGGAGAAATTCCCTTTACTACTCTTCTATCGGAGCAAACCTAAGAAGAGCTGCAGAAACCTCTCACGAGCTGTTACCAGCACACCATGCAGAACCTTCTGTAAACTAGCATCAACATTTGTTTTCCTCAGACAATCAAGGGAGGCCATAGTTGAGGGCTGGTTAAAAGAGAGACAGCTGTGCGGCATTGGTGGGCGTGCTGAGAGATAAGTCTCTGGATCACACTTATGCTCAGCCTCACATATGCCACTTTCATTCCACCCCGTGCTGTTATAAAAGTCAAACTGTGTGACTCACGATTTAGATCTTATGGTCTATTTAGATCTTGATGTCCCATAGTAAGGCATCTGGTCTCTACCAGGACCCAAGAGCAACAAAGAGCCATTTCGGGGAAAAAAAAAAATTGTAGTTATTTTCCAAAAAAGCATTACTAGGTGATATGGTTTGGATTTGTGTCCCCCGGCCAAATCTCATGTCAAATGGTAATCTTCAACGTTGGAGGAGGGGCCTGGTGGGAGGTGACTGGATCATGGGGGTGGATGTCCCCATTGCTGTTCTCCTGATAGTGAGTTCTCACAAGATCCGCTTAAGAGTGTGCAGTGCCTTCTCCTTCTCTTTTTCCCTCCTGCTATAGCCCATGTAAGATGAGCCTGCTTGCCCGCTGCCTTCTGTCTTGATTGTAAGTTTCCTGAGGCCTCCCCAGCCATGATTCCTATACAGCCTGTGGAACCATGAGCCAATCACATCTGTTTTCTTTATAAACTACTCAGTCTCAGGTAGTTCTTTATAGCAGTATGAGAATGGACTAAGACACTAGGCTTGCAATAGTTTCCATGAAGCATCTGGTCCTTCCTATTGCATCAGCTGGGATACCAGACAGCAGATCTCATTGCCCCCTCTAGCTTCAAGCTCTCCTTAAAACCATATTTTCAAGGTACTCAATAAGTGGGTTGGAGCATCATACCCAAAGGAGGTATACTCTGCCTCCAAAATAAAATTAAAAAAAAAAAAAGCCTAACTAAATGAAAAAGGAGCATTGAGCTTCAGTTCAATATCAGATGGAACGAAAGTTTAATGCTTATTTTTTAGTTAGAGGGTGTGAAATACCAACAATTGACTTTCAGTCCCCATCGTTGGGTTACATCTGGACTAGCAGAAACTCCAAAGTTGTGGTGGCCCTTGCAAATTTTCATTGGGATTATCTCCCTTACTCTATCTTACATGTGATTGACAGGATATTGCTGGCTTACCTAGTTCAATAAGTATGATGTCATCAAGAAATTGAACCAATATACTGCCCTGTAGAATGGCAAGGTAGTCGAGTTCCCTAGGGTTAAATTGTGATAGAGAATAAGAATGCTGGTATCTAGTAAAAGAAAGAGTCCAGAATATCTGATACATTTTGCCCAAACTAATGTTCCTTTTACCCTGGTTTAACAACTTTGTAATATATGACAAGACATATTACCCAGCTTCTTCTGTAATTCAATATGAATAAATGTAAATTAATGTAAATAAGTATAAACAAATTGTAACACATCATAATTACTTTGATGAGTAACTCCTTTCTTCCTGAGTCAGATTCTATACTGTGCCTCTAGGGTATGCAGTGATCCGATTATAAGTACAGGTGTAGAGGCAATTGGGGAGGTAGAAGTTGGTATGGGAAGAACTGTCCCTTCTTTCAAGGTAACTATATTAAGTGGTGGTAAGATTGGCCTCATCAAAGGAGGAGCCTCTGTTAGCAGGAGAAGTTCCGAAGTCTTCATTCCTTGTCTCCTATTCTTACTCCTAACCAAAAAATTCCTATATTTGCTAAAGAAGACCTCGTGGATGAAGTTCTGAATCAATTTACACTGTAATTCAGTCATGCACATGATTGGTCTCCATTTGGGATTTTTGGCGACATCAGGCCAGCAGCTACAAGAGATAAGCAATCATTTAGGACTTAGAGGCTTGTCACTGGACATACCTTGAACTGAGAATGTAAACCCCCGAGCTGGCATTTTCTTTCTTTGAACCTTTCAGTCTGGTCATGAGCAGCCAGGCCCCCACCCTTCTTAGAGTCCTCATTCTTACTATGATGATGCTGCAGTCACTGGGTCCTCCGTCTGCCTTCGACAGGCTTTGTATTCCCAGGGACCACAGGCGATAATTTAAGCAGCTGTTTCCCAGTATGTCATATGTCCAAGTTCTCATTTACTAGTGGTAATTAGGTTCTTATTGCCTTCAAATCCAACCAAGGCTGATAAGCCGTTCTACGGTCTTGTTCTTGAGGGACTGTTGCCTACAACTACTTTGTCTAGCAAATTCCATGTTAGTAAGCATTAAATTGCAAGAAATAAAAACAGGCACAAAAAGACAAATACTGCACGATCTCACTTACATGCGGAATCTTAAGAAGTTGTTCTCATAGAAACAGAGAGTAGAGAGGTAGTTACCAGAATGGTGGCTGAAGGGGTAGGGTAAGGGGAAATGTTGGGAGCTAAACAATGTGTACCCATGGACATAGAGAGCAGAATAATAGACATGGAGACTAGGAAGGGTGGGAATGTGGGAGAGGTGAGGGATAAGAAATTACTTAATGAGTATAATGTACACTACTCCAGTAATGGTTACACTAAAAGCCCAGCCCCTGTCATCACCACACAATATATCCATGTAACCAAAAATTGCACTTATACCCCTAAATTTGTACACATGTTTTAAACAAGATACAAAATTTCAATTAGACTAGAGGAGTAAGTTTTGGTGATCTACTGCATTGCATGATGACCACAGTTAATCATAATGCATTGCATATTTCAAGGCTGTCTAGACCCTCCAATCCACACACAAAACAATAAGTTGGTGAGGGGATGGATATATTAATTTGCTTGATTTAATTTTTCTACAATGTATCTATAAATCAAAACAGTACATTGCACCCCGTAATATACACACTTGTTAATTTAAAATATATAATTTTTTTAAGCTAACCATTTTAAGTAGAGAGGAATTTAAAATGGAGTGTCCACAATATTGCTGTACACTGGGTTGGAAAACTGGTTCCAGCCTGGGCCTTCAGAAAGGACCCCAGAGCACTGCAGGCCAAAGTACACCAAAGGCTGCTACCTCTGCTGAGTGAGGAAGGCACAGATTCAGGAGAGGATGCACTTGATGTCTGCAGGTCCTCCTTTCCTAGCGAAACAAGAAAGCTCCAGCCATCTCTGCTGCAAAGGGTCTTGAGGCCTACAAGACGAG